TATAAGAAAATCGGTGTATTATAGTTTACATCGTTTGGTTTATGTGATAGTTATTCAAATACTAAAATAAGTTATATTACTTTTTGGATGAAATGTCACTTTTGCCCTTCGTTTTTAATATTAAAAAAGCAACACACATAAAAATGTAGGGACATAGTTGGAACAAAACAAAACCCAACAATCTCTACCAAAAAATCTCAACCAAAACTTGAGATTTCTATCACTCATTTTGAGTGATAGTTTGTGTCAAATCAAGCAAACAATGCATGTATTTTTTGTGCAGAAAATTCAAAAAAATGATGCATGTGCATATATTGTAACTATCCCAATCAAACTATCACCAAAACCAAAAGACCCCTATATGTACATCAAGCAAACAATGTTTGTATTGTTTGTGTAGAAAATTAAAAAAAATGATGCATTTGTGAACAATATAAGCATTGTAACAATCTCAACCAAACTATCACGAGCCAAAACCAAATGATCCCTTACTAAATGTATAAACCAGTTCAAATAGGTTGAACCCCGATCAAATCATTCAATCTCAAACCACTTTCTTAATCTGCTCAAACACTTACACCAGCTTGACAACCTAACACAACACCAAAAAGAAAATGTTTGGGTGAAAGAAGGGCGGCAGAGCGACAAATAATCTACCATATAGACACTTTCTGATAATTGCATAAGAAAGCATATACAATTACAACCTTCGAATTATTGACCCCTCCATAGAGTACTACACGCAACTCTTCCACTAATGTATGACACTTACAAGTTTCGATGTGTAGAAGGATCAATAAATGACGAGATGGGATGCAATGCACTACAAACTACAATGAAAGTAAAGAGTATGAAAACAAACATGAAACAAGAGTATGAAAAGACTTTACATGTAGTAAATATGTAGATTTATCGAATGTTCTCAAAGAGACGAAATTTGTACAAAAAGTCTTTATAGAAAATGTGTAGGTTTATCGGATATGTCCCCAAAGAGACAAAATGATTAACTTTATATTGTGTTGTATTAAGTTTAAAAGAAGTAAATATGAAGATTGCCGCAATACAACTTTCCAATCACAAATAACTTTCCATGAAAAGAAATTATGGATATTGAATTAGTCAATCACGAGGCACAAATAATACGTTGAATTAGATACTTTTTTTTTTAATAAATGAATCCCCCAAATCATTGTGTTACATTCACTCAATCGAACACCATTCCCATAACATAAGAAGAGGGGCCATCATAAAATAATAATGCCATACTTGGCATTCCTATTATTTTATTCACTAAGCTTTATTTCATTATTTGTCTACTTCTTAAGCAAAACAACCTCCACAAGTACTCAAATAACAGGCGACAACATAGCATAGAAAATTCACACAATTATTATTTTTAAAAAGTCATCAAATAAATATTTATTTCTTAAAAAATAATAGAACACCAAGACCACCCATGTGAGATAATTAGTAGATGTCCAATTAACTAATTTCCTTTAAAAAAATAGCGAAATTCACTGTACAATTGAGGCAAATAATTTTTTGCTATAAAGAGACGCTTAATAAATTATTAAAATGCATCTTAATTTAAATCAGCAAAATGAGTGTGACGCGTTAATTGTCGGGTTTAAGTACACGCATGATGATGAATGGAAGTATATTAAATGGTTTTCCTTAGACAAAAGAGCATTGACAAAAATTTCAAGCACATAGCCATGTTAGCATAGCATGACTAGCAAATATGAACCGTCTTTTATTCCTTAAAAATGAAAATGAAGTTATTGCTTAGGAAGACAATTTTACTAATCTTTAACGGAATGTGTTAGGGTGGTAACTAAAATTCTAGTAGCCACCGTGACTACATCACTATCTACCGTTTATTTTTCTTTGTTTTAATCTCATGATTAAGATTGCTTCAGGGTAATTTTGGAAACAAAAAAAAATTTACACCCGATTATTCTATATATTCTACACAAACCCTAATTCTACACTGCCCTTCCTCTAGCCAAACCCTACTTCATCGACTTCGGGCGCCGGCTGCACTCACTCCATCCCACTCTCCTCCGCTGCCCTATCTCCCCTCCGCCCACCTCCCTTCGCCGGCCATCCCTCCTGATCCTCTCTCTCTTCCCATCCATTCTTCCTCTGCAGGAGACCCTAGTGGCGGATACATGCATGGTTAGGCGGGACACCCCTAAAATTTGGAAACACGATTATTCAACCTACGATAGTAATTTGCATATGAGAAAAAAAATGTTAAGTGATAGTGGGACACCTTTAAAATTTGGGAAAATGATTATCCAATCTCCCATAGTAGTTTGCGTATTTGTATAAATAATCTTTAAGTAGTAGTTTATGTGATTTAAATTTGGGACACTGCCACTATTAGTTAATATATTTTCAATTACGCTACAACTCATTTGTTATTGTGTTTTAGATCCAAATATAATAGTAAAATGTTATTCTTATCTCAAATTATTTTCAAAACCTAACGATTAAACTCAATTACAGGATATCCTTGTCTAGTAAGATATGTCGAGAGATATTTGTTGAGCAGTATAAACACCGAATGCATTTTATCATTTGATGAAACACGTCTGAACTTTTAATGAAACTTTTATTAGTTAGATATTTTTATATTTAATAATTATTTAATTTAATTTTAATATTTAATTTAATTTTTTATAGAGGACACCCCTACATAGAGTTCCTTGATCCGCCACTGGGAGACCCTCCCACTACTGTATACCTAAAACCCTATCCCCTTCTTCTCTCTTCCCATCCATTCTTCCTCCGCAGGAGACCTCCCCACTCCAGTATACCTAAAGGCTAAAACCCAATCCTCTCTCTCTCTCCCTCTTACGTATGTTCTTCTTCAGCAAGACAAAAATGACGGCTGTGAAAAAGAAATTTTTTTGGGGAACTCGACTAGAGAAGACGACGTCTGGTTTTTTATTGGTATGTACTTTTTTGCATTAGTAGTGTTTTTTCGTAATGGTAGTGTTTTTTCGCATTGGTATTGATTATTATGTAATGGTATTGATTTGCATGTATTGGTAGTTGGTTAATCTACAATGGTATTGGTGTTTTGTGAAATGATAGTGGTTTTATTTCTCGAATTGTATTGGTGCTTTGTGCAATGGTAGTGTTTTCTTAATGGATTGATATTAATTTATTATTTTATTGTAGTGGTATTATTTTTTTGATAACGATGTTATTGTATTGGTAGTGATCTTCATGTATTGGTATTATTTTAATCTGCAATGGTATTGGTTAATAAGTAGTATATGTTGTGGTAGTGCTAGTGTATTTACGTTTTGGTATTGATTTCTTGTTTTTTCTGTAATGATATATGTGTTTTTGAAATGGTAGTGATTATCATGTAATGGTATTGTTGTAATATGCAATGGTAGTTGTTAATCAGTGATAGTGTTTCGTGTAGGCTGCAGTGGTAGTTGTTAACGTTTTGGTATTGGTTTCTTGTTTTTTTATTCTGCAATGGTATTGATTTTTTGTGAAATGATATAGATTTATATTGGTAGATTGTTTATATTGGTAGTTTTCGTGTAATGGTATAAATTTACTTATACAATGGTATTGATGTTTTTCAAAGTGGTAACGGTTGTCTAATAGATTGGTAGTGATTTCGTGTTGTTGTCTTTTTTTTTTTTTTTTTGCAGATAGATTGAGAAAAATACAAAAGTGAGAGAAAGAGAGAAAATTGTGATTAATAGATTTTTGAAACTATCTAAAATTAAATTTATTAAAAAAATTAATTAATACAATTTATCCTTAATAACCATACCGTAACCGGTCCCGATGCATTATCGAGATCTAATGGTTGGGAAGTCATAAGTACGTAGTTAGGTTAAGTGCCTAATGCATTTAACAATCAACCTTGCAACTAATAACAATAATATCATAATAGCCGAGGCAAGCATGTTCGTTTCATAAAGCCAAACCTCCAACTCAGCATGTAATCCTCTAAAGTAGAACAATTATCCAGCTAGATTCCATCAAAGATATTGGAAATCACATTGGAGATTCAACAAACATCTAAACTACAAACTGACAGCATACTCAAGCCAGACAAAACACAACAGTTCATCGCATCAGACAATGTCCAGCAACAACACAAGGGATCGATCGAGAAGCTGAGTTTTAGTTCACACACCAGTTCATTGATATCCTTACATGTATTCTGCCAGTAATCCAGTTAAGCCAACAATTCGACAACCTACATTTAATGAAATCTCAGAGTACAAGAGGTTTGAACCATACCATTTCACATTAGGTCCATCTAAGCATCAGTTACAGATCTTAAATATCTAATCTGATACAAGATCTTATACAAGACTTAATGCAAAGCTATATAATAGCACAAGAAATCTGGGCAAGATTCACCAAAGAAACTAAGGACGAAGGTAATCTATACCTCACCATCCATCAGTTCAAAACCTGTTCTATATAATTTGAAAGCTTTAATACGAGTAGAGTCCGTTGGTTCCCGCTACCTAGGCCAAGAGTTCGTACCAAGACTGCAATCAAAACAAGCAGGAAACTGGAAAGCAGCAAGAACAATTGATGCACACGGCAGGGCAAAGGGAAAAGATGGTTCAGTTACTTTTTTCAGTTTCCTCACTTGTCGTCAAAGATACAATGGCTTAATGGCGCACGAAATAAGGGCACCTTGAATCAGCATAGATGCGTTGAAATACCATTACCATCAATAAACCATTTTCTGGAGGATGAACAACAACCCTACTAAATTCCCTCCAAGTTAGATGGGGCATTTTCTTCTTCTACCAGGGGACTTACATATGCAAACAACACGCACAGAAAAAGACCCCCCAAAATAAACTACACAAATTCATATTTAGTCACAAAAGGAGAGCAGGCATCATCACCAACAACAGCAGTAGTTTTTTCCAAAAATTTATTGACATTTCATTACCCGCATTAGACTGTAAGTTGATAATCTTGGCCTTCACCCTCCCTAATCAGCACCTCCAAGCAGAAGCTGATATGAGCTCTCTCCCTTGCCAATACAACACAAGGAAGGCATGTCGCTTCTCGACGTGAAACCCCCTCACTTGGGCCCTCTTTAGCACGCACTCCGCTTGAGTCTCGGTGAAGTTGCTAAATGGCACAGGCGAGAATCCAGAAGAGGCGAATACCGTCTTCCAATTGGGCATCATCTTGTCGGGCCCACGAAGTCGCCCCAGCACAGTGCTCTCGATTTTAGGCTGGAGCAGAAACCTTTCAATCTTGTTCAGAGCATCACTAGTCACATTAGCAGCATCCAATGATTCAAATAGGTTAATGTAAGATTGGAGAGCATGAAGCACATGTTGCGGAAATGAAAGATCACTACGATCACTCCCTCGGTCCAGTGACACCACAATCTTCGGATTAAGCTGCTTGATGAGGCGGAGCAATGAGGGCAATGCAGATGGTTGACCGGAAGCTGCCCAAACGGGGAAGTTGACCGCAATAGCCTCATTCTCGCTAGCTCGGAATATCGGAAGAGAGAAGCAACTCTGCTGATCCAAAGAGTCAAAATTGATCACATCAAGCTCGAAGCTTATACCTATCTCATTGGCGAATTGTGTCAAATTTTCTTGCATAAGGCCAAGCTCGATAGGATGGTGAGTCGAAGGAGAGGCAAAGGCTGTGATCTTTAAGGAAGGTGTAATGCCTCTATTCCGAGGTAGCTCCTGCATGAAGGAAGCCCATTGAGCGCCAAACCCAATGTCGAAGTCGACTATGTGGATTCGGTCTGCATCTTCCAGGGACTCCAGTATAGCCTGGTTGCATGTGAAGTTGATGAACTGGATGAGTGGGGAGACCTCTGAGAAGACCTTGTAAGCGCCCATCTTGAAGATTACATCAAATGGGGTTGGGGTTCGAGGCATGATAGGATGGCTGGTGACCAGGTTGTTGTTAACGTTGTTGTGACCGAGTGAAAGCTGGAGAGCCTCCTTGAAGTAGAAAGCTGCCCTATAGAGAGGCTTCCCAATTGGGGAGAGCTGTTGGTGTTGATTGAGCCGCGCCAATATCCCTTGCGCGTGAGTGAAGTTCCCTGTCCCTACCATCTCTGCTGCCTTGTAGAGCTGGTCAAGCAATTCGTGCTGCTGCCCTCCACCGGGGTCTTCCTTCTTCCCCACCAGGGTGTTCTGCTGAATGCCCTGGTGATGTTGTTGGAGAAATGGAGGAAGCCCTGGAGGAAATCCGAAATGCTGCTGCTGCTGGAGATGATGTTGTTGCTGCTGCTGCTGCTGTTGCTTCCTGAGAAACAATTCATGATGCCCAGGATCTGAAAACGGCAGCTTTGGCATCATTTGAGAAATGGGTTCCATCCTACCACCAGAATTCTGCCTCTTGGGGTGAGGAAGCTGATGATTATTCTCAAACGGCAGAGGCAGGAAAAAGCTTGGAGCTTGAGGAGAATTCAGTTGGTGTTGATTCATCATAGGGTTCAGAACATGTGGCTTCTCCTCCTGCTGCTGTGGGTGATGATATTGCATAGTAGAAGGAAGATCATTACCGACGCTACTATTATTAGGTTTGAAATGAACCAACCCAGATGAAGAAGAAGAGCTGGGAGACACCAAGCCACCAGCAGTTCTGCCATTCCCATGAGCTCCGACAAACCCTGAAGCAGGGAAAGCACCCAAATTGGGACCAATGCTGGAAACCCCAGCTCCAATTCCCCCAATTGAATCAAACCCATTTCGGTGTTCAACCATCCCTAATCCTCCAGCACCACCGCTGCCGCCATTGCCGTCGAAATCCAACGGATTGTTGTTGCTGTTGTTGTTCTGGAGGAGTTGCTTGAGACCAAACGAGGAGTCGTCGACCTCGCCGGAGATCCACCGGAGTAGGGACTGTTCCTGAGTGGGCTCCGACAACATGTTCTCCCAATCGTCCAACCCTAGACCGCATCTGGAAGAAACAATCTCGAGTCCCGCTGGGATTGGCTGCAGCTCATTAGCCCACTCAGAGGCCTTTTCGCCGGCAGTCGGAGTGGCGGTGGCAGTGTTGTCCCCACCGCCGCCGCCGTTGTTGAAGGAGGAGGAAAGAGTGGAAGCCGATGTGGGTGGGCTTGGACTCCTTCTCATATGAAGAACTGAGGTGGGCTCTGTGCTTCCAAAGCTATGAACTTTCTCCTCCTCTTGACTCTGTTCAAGCAGCTTCCAAGCTTCTTGCTGAGAAGAGCAAATCGTTGCGAAACCAGCTGCAGCTGCAATATCTAAACCCCCCTTCCCCTGCAATTGGAAGGGCATCCCTCTCATATATTTACCACAGCCAGTCAAAATAACAACCCTCCGCAACCCACCAAAAAGAAAGGGGAAAAAGAACAGGGGAAAGAAGAAGAAGAAAACAAAAAAACAAAAACTTCAAGGAAGCTGTTTTTGTTTGTTTTAGAGGGAGAAGAAGCAAGATTTGTGGAGGGGGTGAAGATGGGTTGTGCTCAGATTTGGAGAAAACAACCAAAAAGAAAAGGAAGCAGCTTTCTTTCTTCTTTCCTAGTTGTTTCTCTATCTCTCCTTGCATGCCATCAAGCTCTCATCTTTGGAAGCTCTATCCTTCTTCCTCTGCTACCACTTTCAGCCATTTTTTTCCTTCATCAACACAACCTTCTTGATCAGCTCCATACTCCTCCTTCCCCAACAATATCTTCATACCTTCATTCCACCTCCTTCATGGCTTCTCTTCCTTTCTCTCTATCTCTCTTCTCTGAGCGCAATCTGTGGGCTGTTGCTTCTTTCTTTTCCTCCTTACTTCTGTGTTTTCTTTAACAATTGAAATATCTTCTTTTTTTTCTTTGCAAAGGAAAAGGAGAAGGGGGAAAAAAACTTGTGTTATGTCGCAGCAGCAGTACTGTGTACCCTTCTCTGTTCTGCCATGGATGCGTGCATCATGAAAAAGGCAAATAAAGTGTCCCCTCCTCCTCCCCTCTCTCTCTCTTTACTTCTCTTTCTATCTCTAGTCCCTATCTGTTGCTCTCTCTCTCTCCTCTTTAGTTTATTTGGGGGAGGGAAGGGAACACTTTAATTCTGAGCCCCATTTCACTTCTTTTCCTTTCTTTCTATCTCTGTGGTCTGCCTCTCTCTGCTGCTGCGGCCTGGCTCTGTCTGTCACCTCTCTACAGTGCTATCACTGTTGAGTTTACAGAGGAGGGTAAAACTCGAATTGTTTTAAGAAATTTTCTTTTTCTGGGTACGCCAAAGAAACCAAAAAATTGAATTGGAAGCCCCAGAAACCAAAAACAAGAAAGGAAAAATCTACTTCCCTTCCCTCTCTCCGCCAAAAAGTTTCCCGGTTCCCACCAATATAAGCCAATTTGTGATTTGGGGTCCACTCTTTTCCCACCATTTTTACAGGTCAGAACTCCTAAAATGAAAATTTAAAAAATAAAAAAGAAGAAGCAACTGGATCTATCTTTTCGTCTGCCGTCGAACTTACATCGGGTACTGCTAACTTGACCCGGTTGGAGTCCTGACTCCTCGCTCATGGGTCTGACGGGCTTGGGTTCGGGTAGATCTTCTACGATAAGGCCCAGATTATAGGCCCAGCTCAAAAATAGATTTTATTCTTAGGTCAATGTTGTTAGACTTTTTGTTTTGATTGCTCGATCCATGGGACTGAGGCAGGATAATTTTCAGTTGGCCTGGGATTCTTCTCGACAGGGCAGTAGTGTAACGTTGTACGTACGTCTACTTAATTAGTGTATACATGAGTAGTGTAACGTTGTACGTACGTCTACTTAATTAGTGTATACATGAGTAGTGTAACGTTGTACGTACGTCTACTTAATTAGTGTATACATGAGAAGCAATTTAGTCTATGAACTATTTAGTTATTATTATTTTTTCCTACGCACAATTGTTCGAGCTTGCTTTGCTTGTTTGATGAATGGTTGACTAATTAAGAATTTGATAAAGCGGAATTGAAAGAACACCCGAAACAAGAGATTTTACGTGATATCCTTGTATTTTATTGAACGAGATTAATCTACAGTGAGTTCGAAAGAGCTCATAGGCCACAGCTGACGTTTTATTATAAGACTACATTGTGACAGCTTGCTTACAATATGACCGTAGTCCGTAACTAAGCCTTATATAGAGATACGTCGGGCGAAAAACCTAATGAAAATCGAGTTTCCTTCCTTTACACGAAAAAAAATGAGAGACTTAGAGGGCAAGTAGGACACAAAATTAATTACTTGGTAATATAATTAATTAATAACCACAACAATGAATAATGCAATTGTTTCTTTTTCTCTAGTAAAAAGGAAAATAATATAATTATCATAATTAGTGAAATACGGTATGAATAAGTTAAATATAAAATACGTACGATCATTTTGCTTTGTCTTTAAACTAATGGTACGTCTAATAGTATGTCAATAGTCATAAAATATATTAAATGAATTATTTTAAAAATAAAAAAATTAACAATTTAAATCAATAATTGTAAATATTAAACATGTTATATGAATTTTATAACTGTTTTTTTTTTTGTAGTAATTTTATAACTGTTTATTATGAAATATGTCAAATTAACTGGAAAAATTAAATGATTTGGAAATAGTACGAAAAGTGAAAAACGGAAGATTTTAAACACATGATACACATATTAAATGAAATATGTAGTAACTATGCACGTTATTAATCACCGTTCATAAAACAAGCACAAGTAAACAAATAATAATAACTAAATAGTTCATACACTAAATTGCTTCTCAGTTATCATATATATACTAGGCAGACGTACAGTCTAGTGGCTACAGGGATACACTACTGCCACGGCGAGAAGAATTCCGAAGCACACTCAAAATTATCGAGCTTCAATCCCATGGATCGAGCACTCTAAAACCGACTTGTCGACTGGACCCGGTGCCGCTTGCAGTCGCTGTGGATGGAGTCAGAGGAGAGCGAGTACACGGGAAAACAACAATAGAACTAGAAGCCTCCGCCGACGTTGTTGAATCGGCCGACGGACTCTCAGTTCTCGACGAAGCAGCGGCATGGCCGGCCTGCGCCGGCGCAATCACGACCACGGGAGTCGCTGTGGGAGTATCGTAAAATATATATTTATTGAGAGAGAGAAAATAAAACATAAAACAACTGGTTCGGTGGTTGTCTCGGTTGATAGGTGAAGCCGCGAGCGGTTTTCCACCGAGTTTGTACGAGTTCAATTAATGCCACATCAGTTTTTTAATGTCCACGTGGACGAATAGAATTTGGCGGCACCGGTGCCGCATTTTTTACCGCGGCACAGTAGCATTGGCCATAAGATTTAGCATTTTAGGACTTCACTTGAGAGTGATCTTTTGATGTTGAAATTAAGTCTTTTTTCACATGGTTTGTGCTATCAGTTGCATCGTCAGTCCGGAAGGGACTATATGAATGATCCAAGTTCAATAGGCCTGAGTGATGGTTGGTAAGTCATTACGAAGTCTTCGTCATTCATGCACTCTTTCAATTTATTGGATGTTGATGTTGATGTTCATTTGAAGTTTGCAATTTTAGTTTCATTTTAATATGTTTTATGTGTAGGACGATGCGAGGAATTGAGTAGGAACCGTTAAGAGTGTCAGGCATTAACATCTGGCATTCGAGTGGATCTAAGTGGCTTGGCACATAACAACTCCAAACACAAGAGTAGGTATGTGTATTTTCTACAAATAGATATACTTTGGATTATGTTTACCTTGTTCAATTGATTGATCAACAAAGAGGCATCTAATGGCATTATTGGACTGGATCCCATCTTTAATATTACGAGTCATAAAGTAAAAGTTTGTGTGTTAAGTGTGTAGGACGATGCAAAGAGTGGATCGTGAGTGGCTTGGCATATAGACAAACATGTTCATTTGCAAGTTTGTTCAGGATGTTATTTCTTCACTTCATATGCTTATAAGTTATAATTTAACCTCACTTCATTTCTTTTTTGAATGTAGGATTGCAAAGGAGTTACAGATTATGAGTGGATTAGAACATCGTAGAAACTTAAGGTGCTCCTTCCAATCAGATATGACATGGAAAATCTATTCTGCGCTACTCACATTTTCAAAAAACGAGATTGTCGATACAGTTTTCGTATTCTGACGAATTTGGAAAGGAAGATGCAAAGCTACTTATGCTTTGGTATTATTTCAAACTCGAGTTTTGTTTCGACAACTAACAGCGCAAATAAAGGAATGACAAACAACAGAGGGACAGGAAGCTCGGCAATCCACAGGTGTACAGAGATCATCGACACATCCTAGCAATCCAACAGGATCTCGAAGGAGCCATTCAAATGCCACATGCCCTAACAATGGTATCCTGGTCAGATTTGACAGAGCCATGAAAAAAAACCAAGGAGGCCCAATCGAATTTGCTGGATTCTCAAGCGACGGTACGTTATCCTATGCTTTTGGTAAATGTTATGAAGGAATTTCGGAGGCTTACATCGCCTAACTTCTAGCTCTTTGAGATGCTATGAGATGGTGCTTAACACATAATTTTTTGATGGTTACATTTTGTGGAGATGCTCAATTGGTTATCAGGCATGCTATGGCAAAGAACACTTCATACTCTCGTGCAGGGGCTGTCTTGGAGGAAGTTCACTCATTTTTCTCGTTTTTTTAGTCAATGTCATGTGATTTTGCTCCTCGGAGCTTTAACAGACCGGCTCATATAGTGGCCGAACAGGCTATTTCATCGAGAATCCGCTTGCTTACGGATTACCACCTTTTTTAGAGTCCTCTTTGTAACTGAGTCGAGTATTTATCCCATGCCTTTTGGGCTTTCCTTGAAAAAAAAACAAATATAACAATTGATAATGTAATTTGATAATTCAATCCATTAATCAACAGTTGAAAGTCCTAGACTTAGAGCCCAAATCACTTCAATGTAATCAAGTATAAACAATATACAATTAGAAGACAACATTCTCAAAAGCTCTCGCTAATTTTGTCATCTTTCTTTCTCAAACTTAAAACTCAGAAAGATTCTTGGCCTTGTATGCCATGAACTTGTGCAAGTATTGCACCGACTTTTACCCATACAATGTAGATGCTCATGAAGTTTTTCTTGATTATTCTTCGGCTTTATTTGTCTAGATAATCAAATCTAAAAGTTTAGAGTATCATTTACTTTATTTTTCAAAACGGAAAAAATCATATTCGTGGATATTTACACGAATTCGATTTAATTGGGTAGTGTAAAATTTGATAACAAATTTTTTAATGGGTATGGGTAAAACTAAAATTCGAATATTGTGGATAATTGGT